GCCAGCGAAACGTTTGAGAATGTATCAAGTCCACTGTCAGATGCTGGGAATCATGGCAACTACTATGGCATACGACTTCGGACTAGGTGAGTTCTACATATTCTCCCTGAGAACAAGACCAAGTTGTGACAACGAGGTCAACCCACTTCTAAGCATGATCCAGTTAAGCCGATCGACAGCTGTTCAAGAGGAATCCGCCATCTTCTTCCGGTGATATCTACCTTCGGAGTTCTTCACCAAACGCCTTCACTCGAAATGGAAGTTAGCTCAACAATTATGAACCAAGAGATTCTTCTACACAACTTTTCCTCGTATATGTATCAGTTCCTATAGCATTTTCAAATGAAATTCAACGTACATCAGCATATCTCTTTAATTGTTTCTTCGAAACTCAGGTTTTATTCACAAAATCGGTGATACTTCATGTGTAACGTATTACCATTCCTAGATGATCAGAATAGGCAATGCTCACGCTACAGGCATGGCGATCTAGGCATGAAAAGTGCAGTCACAAACATCGAAGCGAAACCGACACAAGGGTTTTCTCAAATCTTGAATATTTACTATAGCCATATTGTGTGTCATAAGCTGATGTATGACTTAATTGCATGGATTGATTTTCGCTTTGCCTTGCTTCCTTTCTCATCCAGAATGGGTTGCCGTTTTCACTTCACCTAGATATCATCCTGATAATTTTATAATTGTCAATATTTCTATAATCTTGTTAGAATTATTATTTGTGCCCGATTGTCCATTGTCTGGGTTTATATCATTTTAACCAAAAAGCCTTGCTACTAAACAGTTCTTTTGTTATATTTTATTTTCCTCAGGGTCACCTCTTGGTTCCTCAGTAGAACTGAATGCTTGCTTCTCTTCATTGCCAAATCCAACTTGCTTGGCTACTCCATCCAACTCGACTCTTTCGCATCGTCGCCTTCGCACTGCTCTGCTTTCCTCTGCTTCCTCCTCATCTTCTTCTTCATCTTCTTCTCCAGCTCATGCTCATAGCAATTCGCCATCCTCTTCCTGCATTTCGTCCTGCGTCGGTCCTCATCTTACCCAACAGTTTAGAAGAGGTCCTGGTTCCTCCAATATTGCTGGTCCTACCGTAGAGGTAGGCCTAGCACCCTCTGTGTCCCAGTCAATGCCGACTCGCCATATCTTACCTATTGAAACACGGTTGCAGTTAGCCCCTGCACATTCGCGAAGCCTTGTCATTTCACGAATCCAAACCCCACAACCACGAACAGTAGATGAACCAATCAGCCCTGATACCCAAGTCAAGGCGGGACAGCTAATTGTCGACTCTTCTACCTGCGACTCGCCGTCGGCAAATCTAGGAGCCTCCAAAGTATCTAATAATCCTAGTGACATAGATATAGCCTCCTTAGCAGATTCCCCGTCATATCATCCACCTTGGTTGCCAAATGGAGCCACTCCCGGTTGTCAGCTTTCTTCTTCAGCAGCATCCACAGGCATTTTGACATGCATTAGTTCTTCGGCTCGCTGTGCTCTCCCTGTGAAAAAGCGCAAGCTCGACTGGAGCCATCTAGTTGCAAGTGAGCCTGTTGCTCCCGCTAGCAGTAGGATTAGCACCAGTGGTAACGATGGCACGGAGGCTCTACAAGGTCTGACGTTTGGACAGATCTCTTATTCTTCTTCATTGCTTGTGTCTGAACCTTTTTCGAGCAGAAACCAGCTACCATTTAGCTGCCAACGGCCTCATCAGCATCATCACCTAGCACATCATGAGCGACAGCAAATGCAACAGGATACTCATGCACATTGCCAAGTTACCAGACGTCTTCTCAACTCTGCAGGATGCTCGAGCAGTACCTCGACCATCCTCGCCTCTCCACTCCCAAACCCCAGTACAAACCTTTCTTCCCGCTCTCCTCCACCATTTGCAGCACAGGCATCTGAAGCCTCTTTGTCTAGCTCAAATTCGGCTCCAGTCAGTCCTGCGCGAGATGCCCCTTCTCCTACACCCTGCAACACAACTTCGCGTATTTCTCCATTTCAGATTCACCAACTCAGCTCCCAGAATCCGAACTCCTCATTTTCTTGGCTAGGGACCGCATCGACCCGACTTAAACCCACAAGCACTCAGCCACTCTCCGTTAGTCACTCTCCATCAGATCACAAAACTGTCACCCACCTCGAACATTTGATTCCGACCTCAGGTTCCTCCATCCAGTTCCATAGGTCTGCATCGCCCGACCAGCAAAGTACTGAGCGATTGAGAGTACACACAAGCGAAACAAGAGAGGGCAGCAGTGCTTTAGGAGTAGATATAGGACTTTTATACAATGTGATGAATCGTGATCAGAGAGAAATTTACCAAGAGTCTATTACTAAAAATGGAGAATTTATTGGGCTTTCAGGCATCGATGAACTGCGGGCATCTGATGATTATTCATGCTCTAATTCCACATCATCTAACCTTATTACTGTTGCAAAGAGCGAAGGTGTTTATGCAGAATGCCTTGTTCCTCATCAGCGAACAGAGCCGATTTCAAGTCCCGTGGAATTACATACCAAGACCGATCGTCGGCAGCATTATGCATCTCCTACGATTGCGTACCCACGTGTCAGGTCAGCTGAGTCGATCGTCGGTCATGCGTCCTCTACTGAATCTAATAGTGGAGACAGAGTTCAAGAGGATGCCACTTTGACAAGAGCTTCAGTATTTGCACTAACTCGTGCGTTAACTGATACCCAGAACAACAAAAATTCTATGAATTCAGAAAGACGATCACTAGAGACTAGTCTTCTTGACGGTTAGTATTGTCATCTCATTTACTCAAGCCATTTACTCTTGTTACGTTTCAATCACACTACTATCCTTCCTCTCATCATGTATCTTTTTTCTTTTTTGTCCAAATTGGTATTTTCTACTCATTTTTAGGCCAATTTGAGGACGGTGCCCTGCGTCGTTCTCTTCTCTCCACGATTCCCTCCCCGTTAATGCCTTCGGGATTCCGTTTGCAGCCAAGTCGACTTCATTCTTCTCTCCGGGCTCATCATCAACAGGAGATGTCACAGTTGCACCTACTAGAGCCAAAAGTCGGTTATCAATCTTCACGACTTTCACCACAGATAAATGATTTAGGCAATTCTTCACAGTTATCTGAAAGTGCTTGCAATGGTCATACACCTTCCCACGATCCTCCTGATCTTTCAGGTGATATTCTTGCTCGCCTAACAACTGGAGATGCGAAATATTCTCCTCGTGTTAGAACTTCACCGTCTCGATTATCCTCTATTACTCGACGATTCTGTCACCCTAAAGAGTCGGATAAGCCTGTCATACCGTTGGATCAACAAAGATATCAACTTGTCGCAACGAGCGACAACAAAGGTTGTCAAACCGGTTCTGCGAGGCGAGCCTATTCTTTCGAGCCATCTGAAAGACGCCCAGGTTTGTCTACTATAAATTACCGCTACATTATATATATTGACCCTATTTTGCTCAAACTGATGAAGGACGGGTAGTTGGATTGTACTAATGCTATGAATAGTCCTCATCTTTGCAGTGAATTTAGCATAGCCTTTTTCCCCAATAGGTATTATCATCCAGAATGGATTGCAGTTTCCAGATAGCCTACGTCTTATCAGCACCCCTAGTGGGACTCGAATTTGGGTAATGTAGCGTATAGTCTCGACACGCTAAGCACTTTCTATGGTGGGATTGTCGATTAAACAAAGTTGTATTTGCTATAGCAATCGACTTGATTACTTGTTTTCGTTTTATAAGTAGATTTTCGAGACTACCATTGGATTATTTCTGAATTCTCTTGACCCTATTTTGTGTAGGGTGCCAAGAGAGCAGAAGTTGAAATTCCCCACAATGATATGAGAAAATCTCACGTTTCCTTGAATTTCACAGCAGATAAAACTTTGCTTCATCGACGATCTCACCAAGAAAGTGGTGTGAGTAAGGTCTGGCCTTCCTTTAAATTCATGTTTAATCTGGGACCACCTATAGCATTGTGGCTTAGCACTTAACGTTTCGAGACCAGGATTCGAGTCCCATTAGGGATGCTGATGAGACCTACAGTCCATCCTGGATGATAATAACCTTCTATTAAACAAAGTTTTGAGAAGCTAGGGTCAACAATTCACACACACACACACACACACACACACATATATATATATATATATATATATATATATAT